ATATTATTGTATTTGGCCGCAGCCCTCAGATAGATTTTCATTTTGGGGAAAATATTTGGGCCTTGATATATGTACAGTATATAAACTGAAACAGACTAGTGCATCCTAAATTTAACATGAATTAATTATTTTAATACAATATAGTCATTCCTGCATTGTTTTAAAGAGGTCACCTCCTAATAAATGTCATTGCAGAAAATCTAACTGCTCATTTTGAATCAATATTTTTACTTTTAATACTTTAACACTGGTTATTTAACATTGAAAACATCCAAAATTAATGATGTTTTCAAGATTAACTAAYCATTTATTAATGATTAAGTAAGGCTAATAAGATGTATTTAATATAAAGTGTTACAGAATTTTTGTTGCATACAGAAGCAGAAACGTCTTCCTGTTGACTTAGAACTGATATACGGTTTAAACTCCTGATGTGTGTGTGTGTGAGTGTGTGTGTGTGTAAATGTTTTTGCAAACTGGTGGGGACGACTTTTACACACTGCCTGGTGAGAACTGTTCCTTATGGGGACAAAAGCCCGGTTCCCATTGGGGCGTATATYGTTGGTAGGTCAGGGGTTCAGTTTCGGACTAACATGTGAACTGAGTTTAGGTYAGTTTCAGGGTCAGACTTGTACCTGTGAGGTCAGGGTTAGACTGTAGAAATGACCAGTAAATAAATGGAAGTCAATGCAAAGTCCCCATGAGGATAGAAGAACCAACATTTGTGTGTGTATAAAATGTAAGTCATACACAGAATATAAAGTGTTGGTCAGCTGACCGTTCTCTGTGTCGTCCTCTTCTCCCATGATGATGGCAGGCGTGTTGGTTTCTCCTGCTTCCATGTGCTTTTTCAGAGACTCCAGCTGGCCTGTGTTGCACAAACCTCGGTGTTAAACACAGAAAAGCACAAAGAAACTAATCTGCAGCTGCATACGTACGTTGCTCCACTTCAGGTTTTAGGCGTTTGTTTTTTATAAGGATTTTCCTTTTGAGGTCGTTTGGAGAGGGTAAAGGACGCCCAGGTTCGAGCTGAGGAGAGAAAACAGACGATTTAAGTTTTCATGACCATCATAGTTGTTCTGAACTCTGAGAGGCCCGATGAATCAGAGAAGGTGAGGAATAATCACCGTGTAGTTCTCGAGAGGCTGTCTGAGGAGAAGGTCACCGAAGAGCTCCTCACAGTATTTGGCCATCTTGTACTGCTGTAGTTTACTGATAACACATAAAAACACAGATTAAATCTGCAAACTGAATTCATTAYGAATCAAACGTGTGGAAAATATTTCTGCAGATCGATCCAAAATGAAAACATTAGGGACAAACCGCGCACCTGCAGTGGTTTTCAAAAGACAAAATGACCGGATATTCAGACGTGACAAACGCCGTCTCTTTGATGGCTTGGATGACATCCTGATGGAAGAGCAAGAAAACAAGATGAAAGATCAAATGTTTCACTGCAGCTGAGGAGGTTTAGTGAAGAGAAGATGTGTAGTAACCAGTTAGCAACACAAGAGGGCAGGCAGACATCTGAAACATGAGGAAAAGGCTGATTTTCTGTCTCTCCCTCCCCTCTTGATGTTTGTGAGCAGGAAATTAATCTTCAAGCAAAAACTGACTCAGTTTTTATGATGTTCCTGCAGAAGAACAGGGTTTTAACTATTTACTGAAATCTAAAAGTTTGTCTAATAAAGAACCATAAATAAAACACGCATGTAGAAACACATAGACACAGAATACAGTAGATTTAATTGATGTTTAAAATCAAAACATTTGTCAGAGTTTATCACTCTGTCTTCTCTCCTTGTTTCTCACTTCTCACTCTGCTCACGTCTCAGGGAAGGTGAGAGGAAAGCAATCGATGTTTAAATAAAATTGTAAATGAGGCCTTGACTCTTGAGCACGGACTGTACCTCCGTGTGTTTTACCTTGAACAGGATGTCTGTGCACATGGCCTTGCCATGAGTAATGATGGGTTCCTGGTCCTCTCCTTTGCCATCCCAACAGTCCAGCTCCACACACCTGATGACAACAAAATGTCACACAACATAATTTATATTCAGGTCTTCAGAAAAGTGAACATAATGTAGAGTAATTTAGCTTATTTGAAACTCATTAAACTGGGTCTTCTATGTGAGGCAGCTCCTCTTCGCCAGAGGTTCAACTTTTATTATAACCTGAGAACATTCTGAGCTTCAGGTACCACCTTTACAACATCAGGGTCTTTTTACATCATGGACCATATGGCAGGCTCTTTTAACATAAAGTCAGATTCACAACATTTACATTCAAATTATCTGAAACTGATTTAGTCATATTAATTAGGATAGCTGTGATTATATTTTGACTAAATGATATCTGATTTATCATTAAGTTGCATGGAGGCTCCAATTCAAGATACCTTAAAAAGGAATTTTAACTAGCCAAAAATTACAGTTGTAAATAATCTATAAGTTAGTTTTGACTAGTCGAAATTGCAAACTAATCTATTAAAATGGAAGCCTCGGGTCAGGTAGACAGTTCTAACTTCCTAAATGCAATAAGTACTTTATTATTGGTTTTGTCTGAGTTTACACAGTAAATATTACTGTTGTCCTACATCTTTCTATGTTCTTTTTCATTGTACAGACGTATGAAATGTCAATAAAGACTCTTCTATGCTAAGTAGCACCTAACAAACCTGTTTACTGGAGTTCATCACATTTTCCAAAAGTGCTTCTCAAAATATTCTTTACTGCAGCTTTTGTTCAATTCGTTTCTGTTTAGATAAGACTGTAAAGATCTTCTACCACTACCCTGTTTGTTTCTGCTTTCGAGCTTTACATCACAGTTCATTTTACATCCAGTAGCTGTTTTAATTTCACTTGTAAAAAGCTGATACCAGCAGTTGTATTGTAGGGGTCACCTCGAGTCAAATTATCAAGGAACTGTCTTGGACTCTCAGTCCTCTGATGGGCCTTTGAAGGGACAAACTCTGTTCCACTTAGAGCTGTATTTATTTAGGCCACCCCAGGTAGCCTTAACCTCAGAGAGACATTCTYTTTCCTTCTAAATCAGATAAAAACAGAAGAATCYTCTCTTATTTGATTTATTGTTCTCTTAACTGAAAGTATTACACATTTTGATAATCAGAGAATGTTTATCAAAGTTACAGGAGAAGAGAGGACAGATCTCTTTTCTCCCTCAGTATGATTTCAGCTATGTTTGGTTTTTCTGTGGGAAAAATTCTTATTTAACTAAAATAATCTTCATGGTTTAAGTTGATGAAATATCAATATTTTACTTGTCTGAATCATATTTACAAATGTTTTGAACTTGAAGCAATTCATTTTTCTTTCAGTTATGTTTTAAATAAGTGCTCATCAGATAATTTAAATGGGTCATGAAATGTGTTGAGCAGCAGCAATAATCTTTGTTTTAGTTTCAGGAGGGCACAGCGAGCTCTGAAACTAACACTTCCCTTGATAATTTCTTTTCTAACCTTACCTTCTGGAGGGCGGACCATAGATTCTCTAAGCTTTTAGGAACTAACAATTTTTGCCCATCCAGGAGAGAGAAAGAAAGGTGACTGACCGCCGTCAGTCACCGTAACAGCTAGATTCTCTCCGGGGAATCAAAAGCTGAAAACTGTGTCAGGTTTGGTCCCTTCATCGCCAACGGGGAAACCTCACAGTGTGGAAAACCAACGCCTGGTTTATCCACCTTCAGAAACTCTCCAGACGGAAGTTTTATTCTGAAACCTGGGTTCCAGTCGAGGCTTTGCCTTCTTTTTAGGCTGACGTGGACGTAAATGCGTCAAAGAGCACGCCTTGGGGTCCCCTGTTCAACGGCCTACAGACAGATTCTCCAGCAGAGCCCCCGCCTACCTGGCAGGTGACAGACCATCATCTCAAGGTAAAAGCTGGCTGTGTGTGACGTCGATGTCTGACCAAAGCTGAGCACAGAACGCTTCACCCTTCTGTTTAAAACCCACATTATTTAAGATAAAGTATAGAAAAGCTAACATCTTTCTTCCACCCTTTTTTCTTAACCTTTTCCTTGCCAACTCCTAAGATAAACAGCCTCAAATGTCTGGTGTTTAACATCTAAGCTGACGTTTGTGTTTCTATTTCTATTTAAGTGTGGTTAACAATTAAGAAGTTAAAAGCTTGTTATTGTTGGTCCCAAACTTTTTATAGGAAATTAATTGTTCACAATCAGGTGTACTCTAGTTAATTTTGTATGATTTGTAAAATAAACGATTGCATATTATGGTTTAAATCAACATTCACTGACTGTTACTTTTTGTGTCCATTCATTTTTGCACTAAAGAAATGTTTACCCAAAATAAAAGAGATCCCTTGCTAATTAAATTACTCTTATAACCTTGTTATAAGAAGTGTAAGATAAACCCTTCCAGTATCATGGTGCATTTTTCTACCTGCATCCTGACAGCAGGACCTGRCGATACATCTCTACTGACGACTTCCCTCCAAACTGTCGTCCTGTCAGGTAGGTGTTGTGAGAGGAGCTGATGAAGTAGTGAGCCAGCGGCTGGTCCATTTCCTGGTACAGCTCCAATCGGTCCAGGAACACTGGAGCGTTTTCATCTGACATTAGGTAGCGACAGAACCCATCACTGGACATGTGACCTGCAGGAGAGATGAACAGAAAGCTGAGTCATTAATAAAGACAGAATGGAAACAGGGTTCCTGCTGTTTAAAATTTGTTAAATTTAAGACTTTTTAAGACTTCTGAATGCCAAGTGAAATTAAATTTAAGACCAATTTCATAATAAACACAAATGACAAAAGAATAAAAACAGTCAGAAACTCATGAATCAAAGTATTTTTGGTTGAAGTATTTAAATATTGCTAATAGACCAATTGTTTTTATCCATATCTAACTATAGCCGAAACATTCTTAGCAGTCAGTTTTAAACTTAGAGGATTTCCAGAAATTAAATTAACGACCCAAAATTTGGAGTTTTAGGACCCACAGTGGGGTCTAAACCACAGCTTGCTGTAGATGAAACCTTAAAGTATCTGCGACATTAAATGTTTGTAAGAAAAATGAATGCATTTTTAGAAAGACAATATTTTTAACATTAAATAAATTTCACATTGCTCAGATGGGCAGTTGTTGAGATATTTGCATGTGAAATAACAGGAAGTGATGTCAAATGGGAATATCTGCATGTGAATATTTCAAAAAATAAACGTTACCAATTTTAATATATGAGATGAATTACAGTCATCCTATTTACAATGTGTTATAATTTTTAAGACCTCTGAAAGATTGATTTAAGACATTTTAAGGCTAATTAAGGCCTTATTTTTACATTGATGAATTCAATGCCTTTTAAGACTTTTTAAGGATCTTTCCTGTGTAAATAGTACGGTTGATGTCAGAATTGAGCATTTAGGATTTTTTTAAAGTTATTCTTTTCAAATTATCACGATAGAGTGAAAATAAAGCAGAGGTTTAAGTCCTGTAATATGATGAAACACCAGCAGATGGCAGCAGAGACTCAAATATTTCAGTTTTTGCTCACAGATCTCTCCTACCTTTCTTCTTCAGCTCTTCGTCCCTTTCATACTTCTCGATAATCTGCATGGCTCTTTTGGGGTCGTAGAATGGAAACAGAATCTCGTTTAACCTCGGGTCTCGTTGGTTCTGCAGAGCAACACACAAATATGCGTTACCTACAGGTGCTGCTAAACACAAACCACATCTAGAAACACGCAACACTGAACCAGCAYGAGGATCAATTCACTGCCGTGTCTTAATGGTTTACAGAAGTGTTTGTAAAAATATATGGAATAACATCTGAATTTAGACGTGGTTAATTTGAACACAATATTCTGGATCAATTTAGTTGCAACAATTCGCTAGACAGGATTCAAGAGACAAACTTAGAAACAGGAACAAGTGCAGGGTTTAGAGATGCTGTGTTAAAACARGGCAGCAACGGGTTTTAGGGGTTCAAAGCAGCTCTAAGCAAACAGCAGCATCAAAACATCATTCTGCTCCCAAAGCCAGCTGGACAGGAGTCTGATCGAGCCCAGATGAGACTGGACTGAGCAGGTATTCAGCCACACACACACACAGCAGGAAACTACATGAACCAAGCAGGACGCAACAGGATGGAAACCTCCACCCTCCTGTTGTCATGGCAACACCAATCAAGACACTGGAAGGCCAACTTCGCTGGGGAGAACACGGGGGGCATGCAGAACAGAGGAGCTGGTGGAAGCTGCCCCTCCAGGCTAACTGCACCTGAAATACTTGACGGATGAAGTTTTACTAACAGGCACCAAGGCTGGAGGGCAACTCCCACCTGAGCAGGATGGGGGGGGGGGGGGGGCTCAGGCCAAACACAGAGAAGTTAATAAATAAGAAAGAGCTTACTTCATTCAGAAAGCTGACTAACTGGTCTACAGTTAAATAATCAGTTTTGTTTCCATTGCTGCAAAAGAATGAATTAGAAAAAATTAAAGTTATGTTACGTAAAATGAACAGTCATTCACACAGTCTGTTAAAATAAAATGAACAGTCATTCACACAGTCTGTTAAAATAAAATGAACAGTCATTCACACAGTCTGTTAAAATAAAATGAACAGTCATTCACACAGT